TTGTTGTTGTTTAAAATAATTGCATGATACGTAATGCAAAATTGTGATATCATTTTTATGGATAAAAAAAAGTTTTGCCAATAAATGTAACATAGTGATTAGAAAGATTTTCCTACCTTTATTTTACATTATCTAATTTTGTATATGAGTCATAATAAAATTAAATAATATGTAAATAGAAAGTTTACGCTTATATCAATAATAATTAATTGAATGATTAATTGTTAACTAAACGTTCAGTTTTTTGTGACTGATTGTATTAAAACGCATACCATTAAACGATAGTAATGGTGCAAGGACACATATCAAGGATTCAATATCAAGCAGTTGATGATGACTTCTAAACAGAATACAGGAAAAATAACATTGGGTATGATTAAAGGTAAGAATCTCATTTAGAAACATTATTGAAATTTAATTAATCATTTGTTTGTCAATTAATGTCGATGACTTTATTCACCATATTGCACGTATGATCAATCAAGTTTCCAATACGTAAACCTTTAATATAAGTAAATGTTATATTTTATTTGTCATACTTAAATAAAATGTGTATTCTTTTATAAAGGTAAACCATTTACAACATCTGTTCCAATAATACATTATCATGCAAGTGATGATGAATTGGAAGAACTATACCTTAGTACAGATGAAGAAAAACAAGATTTGGAATATGAAGAAGTCTCATCTCAATTATCTTTATCTCCATCAAAGACTCCGGATAAAAAAACAGATAAAGAAAAAACGGAAAGTAAGTTAGATCAAAGGTCATCTAGTATCGATGGAAATATATCTGAAGGAACAACATCCCAATCTTCTGATCCCTGGAGAGTCTTATCAGAGATCAAAGGTAAAATTACTAAAACGTTCGAAGAAAAACTTCACGAGATCAAAAGTGAACACAAAAAAGCATATAGAAATAGTAAAGAAAATTCAAGTATCAGTGATTCGGAAGATTTAATAGATGTAACACCGATTGAAAAAACTACTATTTCTGATAAACAAGAAAAAGAAGAAGCTTTTCCACTTATTGATATGAAAGAAGATAGTAGCAGATTTATTGGTTTCTCTAATATAAAAGTTGGTATTAAAACAAAAAATTCAGAAGAAGATAGTATTGAAAGTGGAGTAGAAGCTGCTGAATTAAATGAAAGTTTTCCTAATGGAACAGATGACAAAACGCAGAGTAATCCACCAGATATTAAATGTATTGATATAAAAGATAACGATAAAAAACTGCATGATACATTAAATCAATCATTATTACACACTATCCTGTTTTCACCTAGGACAGAACCTAAACCAACATTCGCATGGCTTAAAAATGAACTACTCAATCAGTTGTTTCATCGAATATTTGTTTTTATTATGGTAATCGCTTCTTCTTATTACCTTATTCCATTTCCGGAGTATATTCTTGGCTTTGTCGGGGGTGTATTTACATCTATTATAGCATATGATACATTAGCAAGCATGAAAAAAATTTTAACTACTGTACCCGAAGGTAAAAAAATATCGACAAATAAGGTACCAGTTGTAGAAATACCTGCAGTAGAGGAGCACGCAGTTTTAGAGAGATTTGAGGGATGGTTAAATGAGTTACCATACTTATATGATCCACAAAATTATCATGTGGCACGCACAAAGTCTGTTTATTTTAGACTAGAAGGTGATACCTTGCGAATAATGGAAACAAGAATGAGAATACCAAAAAGGGCTGTTTGGGATGAACCAAAGCACAAACTCAAGTTTACCCGGAGAAGAACTTATAGCTTGGCTGGTGCAAAGATAGAATTACTTCCTGAAGGTCTTATTAGAATAAGGTATACTCGTGACTTGTACTTCAAATTTAATAGAGTATTCATATCTATTGGACTATACATGGTACTGAAAATTGGTCAAGTGAATAAATAATTCATATTCGTACAACCTATTTAGAACACCTTTTTCCAATTGGTAATTACTTCATAGTTACAGGCAGTAGTCATAAAAACAGTCAAAATTATTCATATTACGATTATTCCTTTTTTCCTCTTAGTTTAAAAAACATAATAAACAAATCTTTTTATTTGATGATAAATGTCTTTAAATATCGTCATTTTTATTATACAGGAGATGGAGCAAAAAGTACCCAATTTGTATTACGATAGAAAAGGGAGCCTTAGTTGAAAATGTTGCCTTGAAAGACTGTTATAATAAAGAAACTAATGCTTTTAAAAATAATAGCCAAAAGATTATAGAGGAAGACGTAGAAAATCAAGTAGATAAAAAGAAAGATAAAGAAGATAATAAAGAGAATGAAGAACAGATAGAACAAGAAATCGAAGATGAAATAGATGAAGAGGAAGATGAGGATGAAACCGATGAAGATTTTACACAAACGCGAAGTCTCAAAAATTCTTTCATAGGTCATAGCGAGAATGACCAAAGTGATATATGCAAACTATTTATTTTTGCAAGAGCTGATCGTCAAAAAGAAGATTGGTAATAAAATCACTTTTATTATAATACCAAATGATTATATTTATATTTTCATTGTATATTATTAATCATAGGTATAGACGTTTGATCATTGCAGCAAGCTGTAAAAAAAGAAATTCTATTTCAACAACTAATGATAGTTCAAATTCATCTCTGTCGCAACAAACAATTATTAATGAATCGAAAGTTCCACCATCACCTAGTCCTGCTTTTGACCGTCCTCCGGAACTCAATTATAATACATACATGAGTCAGTACCTTGATGTAAGTATAAAGAAATTATTATATATTTATTTGAAATAGAGGCACTTTAAAATAATTCATTATTTTAGACTGTTGCAACAACTCCGAGTTCTGAGATTGAATCTCCTATTCCTATATATGATATGATGTGGCTCAACTGTTTATTAGGTCGTATATTGTTTGACATGCACAAATGCTCCGATACTATAAATCTTATTCAAGATAAAATTCAACGAAAACTTTCGAATATCAAACTACCATATTTTATGGAGAGTTTAATTGTGACGGATATGCTGATAGGTCAGAGAGCACCGTTTATTCAAGATACGTCAAAACCAATAATAGATGAACGAGGACTCTGGATAGATCTAAATGTATTATACAAGGGATGCTTAACTATGACTATCGAAACAAAACTAAATCTTATGAAATTAACCAGAGCTGGTTCAGTGTCTAGTAATTCTAGTGATGTGATAGCTGGAGAAAAATCTAAGACAATAAGATCTCCTATGTTTGATAGTGATGTAGAAGATAGTCCAGAAACGTCGACGGAAGAAGAAGACAAGTCTAATATGACGATTACAACATCGAAGGATACACCGTAAGTTATTTTTCCTTATTAACACTTAGTCGACCGAACGCCCCACAGAGACCTCTACAGTTTCCACCGCGTTCGGGAAAGCCAAACTGTGCCTCTCCACCGTGCATTTTTCTGAAGTAGTGTTCTAGAAAATAATTTTATGGCTGGCAAAGACTCCAACGGAAAACCCGAAAATATAGAGTCATAATAATGAGCAATGAAAGATTTCAAAAATTGGTGCATTTTATTATATGTTGTACCCTATATAAATAAGCTCTATTGAGAAAGAAGCGTTCCTCAGATGAAAAGGGTAGATCTATCCGAGCGGTCGGCAACCGACTTGTTTGGAAAAGGGTAGATTTACCCGAGCGGTCGGCTAAGTGTTAAGAGTTAAATCTACTTTTTGATCAAATCTATTTACTTGGTAAATTGACTTTTTACAGTTCCACCCAGTCTTCGGGGAGAAAGTTTCTCAGTATGGTAGATAGATTGGCTGCAAGCAAATACTTTCAGCATGTAAGTATATTTTTGACAAATATATTTTAACAATAGAAACAACATTATTATAAACTAAATTACATAAAGAACAAAATAAAATTATATATAAAATATGTTTCATATGTTTTTCAGGCAACCGAATTGTCTTATGTGCGTAAAGCAATGGAAGGTGTTTCTAATACTGAAATTCGTTTGACGGTCAGTGTATCTGGTATTGAAGGCTGCTTATCTATAAACATTCCTCCACCACCCTCTGATCGACTTTGGTATGGTTTCAAGCCAACACCGAAAATTTTGATTACCGTAACACCTGCCTTAGGCGAAAGAATAGTAAATATCGGTTATGTGACCAAATGGATTGAAACCAAATTACTCCGAGAATTCGAAAAAATTGTTGTATTACCGAATATGTATGATCTTATTATATCACTATGTCCAAATTATCCTTATGCTACAACGTAAATTATTCTGGACAAGATGATGTATGTAATAAACGCAAGTGTATTGACAAGATGTAAATTTTGCATAGAGTTTTAAATTCGATGTCTATATTTTATTACTGTACAATTATAAAAGGTATTAGTAATGTTAACATTCAAAGAAACCTTTTAATTATATACAAAAGAAAACAAAAAAAAAGAAAGTAAGAAAGAAAAATATGATCTGTAATTAGTCCACCTTGAAAGTTGAATCTATGCAAAAAGTATATATATATTTCTAAAAGAGTATAACAAGAGGTAAACAATAAGTATGATTTTAGAGAAATCAGAAATTCTATCGTAGAATAAAATACGTATATAAATATATATTTTTTTTACTGAAATAATATTTCATATTAAGCTCTCATTAAATTTACAAGATTAACAAATGCGTTTCTCATTACTCATTAATAATTAGAAGCAGAAGTCATATTTACATTTTCAAGGTGGAAACAAATGAATAATTTTTCGAATATTTGTTATACAAAAATAAAGAAAAAAATATTGTATGTGTATATATTTGTATTACTCACTAAAACTCGACTTAAGAGAGTCGTGATGATAGTGAGCGTTTGCTATAAAAGAATATCTCCGTGCTACTTGCAGTTAAAGGAAATTGGTCGAGTGAAAGTTACAACATAGAAATGTTTCTACTACACGAGCTTGTAAAACATAGAGAACGATTTCTCGGATGTATTTATAATACTAGTATATAATGATTTGTGCACGATTTTTTTGACGTTATTATTCGTATGTAGATGTATATACATTTTAAGACAATAATAACGTCTTTTTGTGGCGATTTCACCTTTGTAATTTACTTCTAATTTGTATTAGTTCCTTATTACGAAATAATGCAATTAAAGATCTGTCTGTCGATTGTGTTAAGTTAAAAGCTATAACGATATCATATGTAATGCAAAAGAAAAAAAAGAAAAATAATAAATGAACCGTAAATGATTATCAAAGCGAATATATATGAAAAGTGATCATAACTACGCAGCGGAAGTTCTCACGTTAAGGAAAATAAAGTTTCTTCGCGTATACAAAAGCGAGAGAGTATGTTTCTCTCTTTTTGCTCTTCTATTACGTACGACGTTAAAGATGACAAACAGGCTAGTTTAGTAAAAATTTATTGATTAAGATAATATATACGTCACGTTATTCTTCATTCTATAAAAGAATAATATCACAGTTTAGAGATCTTGCGCACGAAGTACACTTACTCTTGTAAGCCATGTACATCGTATAAAATATATTCTATATATATAGATAAAAATATATATCTTATATATAGATACAGATAAAGATTGTTAATCCTTTTCAATATATCTTTGAAAATGAACTCGGTAGTAAGTAAGCACATACTTATCAAAAAATATAAATAATCTCTATGATAAATTGTGATATTCTATATGATGTTTACATTATCGAATGATATGCAGTTTATCTCTTATTATGTTTTTGTTACCTACATCATGAATATATAATATCAGCACTGTGCTTACTTAAACTACTTTTTGAAAGTTCGGGACGATTCTGATATCTAATAATGGAATATAGGCTTTATACATATAATTGCAATGATAAGAAGAAGTTGATGAGAGCATGTTAATAGTCTCTTAATCGCTAGCTTTTTAGCAGACACGGTGCAGTGATCCATTCACGCACGACTTCCGCCCAAGTTTCTAGTCTTGGTGCACAAACAAGAATGAGATCGTCGAGTCTTCTACGTGCCATTATTACAAATTCTCCCTGGCCATGTCGAGCGTCACAAGCAGAAGATACTCTTATACGGATGTTTTTTTCGAGATGAGAATTTGGAAGAATGGAGAATACCTCGTTGGTCTGTTAAGAGACAAGCAAAAACAAGAATAAACACATGAGACTGTTATAATCGTAATATATAAGGATAATACTTATTTACACTTAGAATCTATTCTCATTGGCAGAAATCTTTTTCTTTGAATATATCTTACAAAGTTAATGACAGACAAGTACCACGAATTTGTTCAGAGAGAAGGGGTTGAATTTTTAAGATGTTAACTTTCCAAATCTGTATAAAGAAACAAGTATTTACCTCAGATTCCTCGACTTTGTGAAGAATTTTCGTTATCCTAAAGATTAATTCAGAAGCTTCAAGCTCAGGTCTCCTTTGGACAGAAGTGACGGTACCTCTAGCAACAAAATCGCTCTGACAATAAGCCTCAGCGAGTTCCTTCATTGAACAAGGTCTACATTCAGCCTCCTCGTCGGATTCATTCGGCGTGCGATGATTAACAACAAACGGTTCCACGTCGTATTGTAATTTTGCACGATTATTATTCATGGTTAATTCGTCTGCCTCGACGAAGAGAGCTGTACGTTGTTTTTTGGCATAAAAGCAACGATGAGACGCTTCGTTCTTTCCATCTCGCGGCGAGTAAACTGCCCTCAGCGTACCGTTGCTTTCCAAATATATCCTTATTGGACCTGAAGCCTTAACGCAAACGCGAAAACCGCTTGATCCGGAATTCGATTTGGGCCCAATTTCATTAACCTTCTTTTCATTTGCCAATGAAACACTTTTAATACCAGATCGAGATCCAATCGCTGAGTTACTCGTTGCAGCACCCACTGATAAAACTATCCTCAAGGCTCCTCGAGGATAATGCCATAAAACAGTCCCTCTTGTACATCGAAGATAAACGGGTCGTACTCCCCGGCCACCTCCACCACTAAAATAAAGACAAACATTTTCCTTTTTTATCTTACATATCTGATTGACACAATATTTGTGGTTCAAGTGTGTTTCATAAAAGATCAAACCATTTAATGCTATGTAATGTAATGTAAGATGAAACCTATCGGTAATCATATTATATTCGAGTGAGACTGTTTTAAAAATTTATTTAAATCTTCGGTATTATGGTTTAAAATAATAGAATCGATCGCAAATTCATTAACTCTTTTAGTTCCGCGCGAAAACGTGATGCGTATAATAGGCGCCAACGCTTGCGCAACGATATATCGTCATTTGGCACTAAAAGGATTAACAAAAAATTCGTCCTACACTCAGTTATACTGCATATAACTTAAAGAATGATCAAAAATCGTCTTTTATATTCAATCCAAAATGGTATACATTATACCCAGAAGATAAGATAACCCGAATATGTCTGTTCAAGTTGCAATGGGCGTATGCATTTACCTATAGTCGCTGCAACTCGCAAACTACATATCACAATTAATAGGCTCAGTCATCGTTGTTGATATATTCTATCCCTGACAATAAATTATTTGATCTGTTTAATAATTAAAATTGTTCAATGTACAATCTATATTTATAATAAATCCTATTTCTTATAGGTAACCCGAAACTATTGCATTTTTAAACTGGATATATCTCTTATGCTTAAAGTTATAAGTTTATCTTGATTTTATCGTATATAAAATATTATATATTCAAAAAGAGAGAGAGAAAGAGAGAGGCATTCTTGGATAAACCGGAATAAGCATAAAAATTGAGAATGTCCAAGGACGGTCCTACAAACGAAAGCAACCTAGCTAGCTAGCTAGCTATATAGAGACTCCAGCTCAGCTGAAAAGTGTGTTCTAAATACGGAACGTGTATAATATATATATATATACATAATAGAAGGAGAAGAGAAAATACGTATGGTTATAGGAAGAAAGAGAGATAATAAAGTAGACTGGTCTTGTATAAAAAGATAAAAAGAGAATAAGGCAGAATATAACATAAGAAAGTAACATAACAAAGAAAAAGAGAGAGAGAGAGAGAGAGAGAGAGGAGAAGAAGAAGAAGGCGTGGAATGGGCCACGCGCCTCTCTTGTAGCCATAGTCAGCGCTGTTTTCTCGTGCGGCTACCATACTCACTTACCCTCTTTTAGAGACAGGACTGACACGTACGGTAAAGCAGAACGGTATGTATAGACACAGAACCGGGCAAAGAGTTTCCCCCTTTCCTCGCCTCTTTGTCGCAGAAGCGGAAACAGGTTTCCGTAAGGCATACACGACGGGTCTTAGCATTCTGTTAAGACCAACGACTTTTCTTTCCACTCTACCTCCCTCCCTCCTCTCCTATCTCATTCCTTTTATATTCTACTAGACAAGGTAACATGGACCGATAATTCTCTATTTCTCTTTTTAAGCTCGATGGTAAGCGGCATAGGTGAAAAAGTTATTACCACCACTATCACCACCTCCACTACCACCACCACAACCACCACCACCACACCAACGCCTGCTTGCCTCTAATCGCCGTTTCTATTTGCCAGTTTTATGAACCGAAACGGTATTCGAGTTATATACGAAAAGAGATCGACATTTTTTCCCTACCCTCTCTTTCTCTCTCCTCCCAACCCCTTACCTCTCCCATTCAAAACCGGATAAGAATTTCTGCTTCTATACTATAGAGCTGCGGATACAATTCTTCTTGAATCCGTTATATTAAATGTCCGTATACGAGATATAACATATAGAAAATATTGATGTGTTACTTTGTCAAATCTGTTAATTCATCTAATGACTAACTAAACTCGTAAATAATTACATTGATCTATTTGATTTTCTTTCAATAGACAGCAGTCTATATTATACACTGAGTAAAAATCGAGAGACAGACATTTGTTTTATGGTCCTTCCAAGAGAAAGTTATCTAATCTCGAGATGAGTTTTATCTATTGATTTAACTAAGGTAACAGATTAAGTTCAAATAAAAAAAAATAAATTTGCAACAAGGATAGTTCATAGATACGTTCTTATCTCTTTCCGTTCTTTAAAAACAAACTTTAAATCTATCACGTTGAAATGAAATTGAAGAATATTTTTTTAATCTCGTATACTTTAAACAACTCTCTCTTATGAATTCGTATATTTATAAGTGCTGTCTCGATAAAAACGTTTACGTTAGTTATTTAACACGTTCGTCGCCATGGCACCATATACCGGAAACGGTCATGCTTCTCCGGGGCCCCGTCACCATATACGGTGACGCTTTTCTTGTGAAATTATAGTATTTTTAGTTAGAAAAACTTATCACATTGCCTATTCCGAAACAAAATTATTTTCGGTAAATAAACGAGATTTTTATATTTTATTATTTTCGGTAAATAAACAATAGTTTTATATTTTATTATTTTTGGTAAATAAATAATAGTTTTATATTTTATTATTTTCGATAAATAATAGATAGTTTTATATTTTATTATTTTTGGTAAATAAACGATATTTTTATATTTTATTATTTTTCGTAAATAAATAATATTTTTATATTTTATTATTTTCGGTAAATAAACGATTTTTATATTTTATTATTTTCAATAAATAAAATATAATAATATAATATAATCATAATACTCGGTTTGCATTGTTGATATTTCTACTTATCGCTTTTTTACGTTACGGCGCGCCGACAGTTGAATTTTGGGCCTGGCGAGAAACTCGACCGAAACGGGCTGGGCGACGAACGTGTTAACTAAAGTCTATAAATTTAATGCTGACGTGTATATATATAGGTATATTTTTTCATAACGCAATGAACAATACAGATATAATTTTATAAGAAAAGAAAAGGCTAGCTAGGTTGTTTCATCTCGACACGTAAATATATCCTAAGTAATGTACGCGTTCATTCTGACGTAAAAAGCACGTGGGCGCGTGGATAACGATCTCGAGGAACGATCAAATAAATCTCATTCTCCTTCTTCCTCTTTTTCTCTTCTTCTTGGAAAGACTTCTTTTCAGCAAGCTACTAGAGCAAGCAACGTGTCTGAACCACTTCTTCTCATTTTTTGTCATCTTTCTTTCTTTCTTTCTTTCTGTACGAAAGCAATCACGACGAGTTTTAGAAAAGAGACTGTCCTGACAAAGTGTCTTGAATTACCGTAAACCCTTTCGAGCGTGAATTCGGCGGCGTCTCGAGTTTCAGTCTTACAGTATTTCATGTAAACGCCATGGTTGTTAGTAGCATCAAATACTACCCGTATGAATAAAATGTCGCATAATCTGCTTATAAAAAAAATATTCTAAATATATAAAGCGCTATCGGGTTAATATGTGTAAATATATATATATGTATATATGTATACATATGTGAGTCGTTCACGGGTCAAAATAATTAACTCCACTTTGAAAATTTTTATTCATTTCAGTAGCAAAATACTTGATGGATAGTTAACTTTTGATATTTAAAATACATTTCTTTAAAAATAAGACTTGATATCACTGAATGACAAACATTTTTATAACCATTGAATAATAAATGATATGATAATACATATATACATTTACATATATATAGAAGAACGCGGATATTCAGTGACGTCACTCAACGTTATAAGACTTGAAGTCATGGGCGGGTTTTATGGAGAAATGCCAACAACCGGATTTTTAAACCGTTCTCGAAAAATGTACCAATATATAAATATATAATAATACATATATATACAGAAGAAACTAATCTTTTATGAAACATTTTTAAGAATAATAGCATTGAATTAAAATTTGATTATATGAAAAGAAATGATTTTATTTAAATATTAACTATAAAATCAAAAATTGGAATATTACATATTATTAATCAGGCCAATATATGTATAATGATGTAGAAAGAGTAAAGCATATATATGTATACGTTGACGTGTATATGTATGTATAAATACAGAAGCTGGTAAAGTCCTTCGCACTCCCGCTTGTCTGGTTTAGCCTTTCTCATGAATTTCATTCGATTCGATGCATACTTTCGCGCTTAGCCACGCCACAACGACAACACGACGACCACGACGGCCACGACGACGACAAAGTTGCAGACGACTTTTATACTAGTTTTCTCGTCATAGCAACCTTTGATATTACGACCTCGCTCATAATCTTTCTAGAGTGATCAAACGGTTTAACGTAGCAATAATAAGTATCCTATTCGCAATTCTGATTTTACGATAATGTTTGTCTAACATTTATATTTTCTTCCTTAACGTTTGAAATAAATTATTTCCTATTTATAAAACAATAATGTAATTTGAATAATATGAATAAATCTGAAAGATGTAAAAAGAAAATAAATGTAATTTGGAACAATGGTGGGTACTTACGTATTAACGCCACCGCAGCAAAATTCCCCTAATGCACTAATCTACATCTTAAATTGTTGCGACAAATCATAGAATAAAAAACTTTATTTAAAATCAAAACACTTTCATAATTCAAAACATTTTATTTATAAAAAGTAGTCAATCGGATTTCAGTGGACAATGGGCCGATATAGAATGTAACATAGATTCAAAACAGTCTCTAGTTTCTTTCACCTGATGCTGTCGCCATATAAACTCTGATAAATAAAATTCCAAATGATGTCTCGCATCTTGTTCTGTTTTTGGCAAATCCCAAATACTCATTTTCATAACACTAAAAAATGACGAAACCCTAACGAAACCCTTACGAAACCCTGACGAAACCCTGACGGTTGCTATGTGCAAACAACAAGGTTGTTGTGTGCGAACAACAAGATTGCTCTTTATTGGCGCATTAGTGGAATTTTTGCTGCGGTGGCGTTAATACCTAAGTACCCAATGGTGTTTCATTTAATATAATTATTATTTCAAATTTTGTATCGAATGTAATACTTCGTGAAAGAAATATATTTAATTAACAAACAATTAGTTTAAATGTTAAATAAAATTTATAGAAACCAAATCGGTTTTTTATGAAAAATTCATTTTTGATTCCGATAACAAATTGATAAAAAACTGTGTATGAGAAAGAGAATTCAATTCATTGCTGAACGAGAGATAATAATTAATAATGAATAATTATAAATAATTAATGAAAAGATTAAAAGGAATAATACCGTTTAGGAAAGTACGCATTGAATCGGCTAACGTGTTTACGATATGAAGTCCGACCTGCAACTGTCTCGAATAGTTTACATCTCAGAGAGAAAAGTAAACAAAAGTAATGATAGAATAATATGATATTATTATTGGAAAAAATACTTCGAAAAGACTATTATGTATTCTGATATTTAACAGAACAATTCTCGACTCGATAATCGAATTGAAGCAAGAGCGAATCACTATGATCCAGATCAGTGAAGGAGGAACTAGAGCAAACTCATAACAGTTATAAACGGTAGTATTTCTTTTTTATCGTAACTTTTCTCTCAATTATAATTCTTATTGTCCAATCGTTTGTAATTAATGATAAATGATTCTCCCCAAAATGTTGTTCTTCCCTTTTAATCTACAGTAATTCGTATAATCGAATTATATAAAGATAAGCAGTATTATTTATTACATATTAAGGTGTTTACGTATTAACGCCACCGCAGCAAAAATTCCGCTAATGCGCCAATAAAGAGCAATCTTGTTGTTCACATACAATAACCTTGTTGTTTGCACACAGCAACCGTCAAGATTTCGTCAGGGTTTCGTCAGGATTAGGGCGACAGCATCAGGTGAAAGAAAATAGAGACTGTTTTGAATCTATGTTAAATTCTATATCGGCCCATTTTCCATCGAAATCCGATTGACTACTTTTTATAAATAAAATGTTTTGAATTTTGAAAGTGTTTTGATTTTAAATAAAGTTTTTTATTCTATGATTTGTCGCAACAATTTAATGTGTAGATTGGCGCATTAGCGGAATTTTGCTGCGGTGGCGTTAATACGTAAGTACCCATATTTAATATTTCAATAATTCATGCATGTATGGTAAAATGATTTATGTTTTTCAATCCATTTTTAAAAAGTAACATTTTGGACAAAATAAATTAGATACATTGACAAGGATTTGATTGAAAAAGAAAGACGAATTAAGAATTGTGAAATACATATCCAAAAGCCATCACCAAATAAGGTGGTTTAAGATACCAAGGAGAACAACATGCTAGGCAACGGAATCACAGGAAGAAAGAGGAAAAAAAGAATGAGTTCGAGTGAAATCGAACGAATATACATGAAAGGAGATCGTGAAAATCGGTAGCGCGGGAAGAAGAAGGACAAAAAAAAAGGCGAAGGGAATTGAAAAGAAAAACAGTACTAACCTTCCGATCCAATCGCATTCGTCAGCAGGTATAAGAATGCCATGCTCTTGTGACGATATCGTAGGTATATCGCCTAGGATGACCACAAGGGACAATATTATTGCCGCAAAACCAAAAGGTCCTATTAAATTCATTTTCGTTTCCTTCGACTATTCTCCTTTTTAGGGTTTTTCTTTTTCCTTTATTCCTTTTCCGTCCCTCTTGTTAGGAATGTTTATCTTCCTTTCTATTTATAGATCTATTGAATCCCTCAACAACATTTGTATTTTTTTTTGTTCCTAAAAGTTGTCCGGTAAAATTTCTTTCTTCCAAAACTTGTCCCTTAAAAGTTGGTCTTTCTTTTTCTAAAGATCCCCTTAGATATTCAAAGTTCGTGTGTTAAGTGGGTGGTCCATTACTATGTTGATTTTAAAAGTCGAGTCTAGAAACGACTAACAGGTTGTACCGTTGGATTAGGTGTTCTCTTTCTCAAGAGTCGTTGCCTTCTTTCCGAATGCTCGTTCAGTGTTCGCTGACGCGCGAAAGAATTTCTTTATGATTTCGTTGCGTATCATCGGCGATCACATCGCATTGTGTATATGTATAGTATAGCTATCGAGCTCGAGGCAACACACGTGTGTATTGCGTACAACACAATCGACGAAGATGTATTTCTTGCTTTTATAAGTATGTTTGGTTATTATGAAATTATCAAAACTGCATCTGCGATAAAACTTGTCTTCTTTCTCCATACGTTGTTCGTTGTTTCTTCTTAAATAAATATCCTTCGTTACTTTGTTATAATAATTGTCTTACGCGCAAATACAGACGCAGGTATACTCGACAGAGTTGCTTGCACAATGGCACCCAACACTACTACTACTTGCGTGCTGCACACGACTAATCTAACTGACGTTAGGGTATGAGGCGGAAAGGGCTTTATATTCGACGAGTGCGCCACCAAGCAGAGAAATTTGGAATTAATTTCGATTGATTTAAATACGTTTGAATTGGCGGGTTTCAATCTAACTTTTTGAATTACAATTTTTTATGTTGATGCAAAGAATATGAAAAGCATTTTTTTCTACGATAAATCATTTCTTTCTTTGCCAATCATATCGTCAAGAGCTTTATCCAAACATCGCCTCCTAAACATATACGATAATAATTGATTAATTAAATCAATTAACATTATCTTTCGTTTTATAATATGTAAAATAACAAATTCATCGTCATACTAACGCTTCTTTTTTAAATGTATGCCAGTCGACGTGTCCAGGCATACACTCGAAAGGATTTGGTTCGTAATCACAGATTCCTAATATGGTCATACCTGTTGTATATTTATCTAAAGAAATAGTATTGCAATCGTCTGGACCAAGCGATCGAAATATACTTCGAATATGCCTATGTCGTTTAAAAATTTGAAATAACTTTGGTATAAAGGAAAATATGAATGTAAATACATGCGTTTATATACCTTGTTTGAAATAATAATGGTGGCTTTTTCATGCCTGATCTGTACAATATACATTCCTTAAGAAGTTTTTCGAGGTATTGAATTGGATCAGGTGGTTCCTCTACGAGAAGATGACCGATTAGAAAGTTGAAAAGTTTTAAAATTTGTTTCTCTTCGAGATACGCCTGAGCGCGTTCGTGCGCTCGTCTATGTACTTCCTGAGTATCCCGGAAGATACAAAATGAATTCAAATTAATGAATTTATCATATAAATAATAGGAAAAATATACAAATTATTATATCTATTTTGAAATGTATTTATATTCAGTTGATTTCCTAGACTTGTATCTTACTTTTTCTTTAAACATATTTTTATCAGTTGAGTATCGTTCATTATTTTTACGTAAGATTGATGATGCTGTTAATGTTTCAACGATATTAGAAGATTTATCAATATCTTTACAATTAATCATTTTTTCATTATTCATTATATTCCTACAAATGTAAAATTGTAATATATTTCAAACTTCTAGATATTTAATACAAAATAATCAACTTTTCCTTTTGGAGTATTCCTTAAAATATATATTTGTATATTGACCTCAAAATTTTGAAAATATTTGACTTTTATATATCCACTGATAGCTTCGTATTTTATAGTATTTTATTGTTAAAATTATTTAAACAAATTACAATAATGTGATAAATAATGCTGTTAGAAAATAATACCGTCTGAATGATGCTGCAATTGTTTTGAAGTTGGTTACGGTAATGACATCATTTCAAAGATGCAGTGGTTCTCAAAGTGTACCTTAGTTTTACTAAGGCTCGACTGGCTGTCGAGAATCGAAAAAGTTTGAAAACCACTGCATTAATATATTTGATAACCTAAGTTCTTATTGGTTCTTATGAATACTTGTAAATAGATGTTTTTAAAGTTGAATTTGATATGGTAGCTTTCAAATTTTATAGTCCAGTCAAAATAGCTCTGAAATCGGGTTTTTGAGCTATACGGCTGAAAAAATATGGAAATTATCAGAAAAATGCGTACAAAACTGTGGGCAAAGTAAAAAAGTTATCAACAACCGGGAAAGGGATAAAAAAAATTAAAAACTACCCCAAAATACGATTTTTGGATTATATGTTGAAAATATCAAAAAAAGTTTCAAATAAAAGTTGTAGAGCATAAAATTTTAGGCCTATCTCTTTTTGACCATTTTTCCCCTAAAACGCACCCTTTCACCCCTACGACGGTTCAAAGTACTCAAAAAATGAAAATTCAATAAAAAATATAAAAATTGGACTTTTTTAATTTTTTTTTTTAATTATGTTTAAAAAACTACAAAGAACAATCGTAGGGAATAAAAAAATTTTTTTTTATCCCTTCTATTAAAAATCAAGGGGTGAAAACGGTTTTTGCTCGATATTTCGCTTAAAACGGGTTATTTAAAAAAAATTTCTTTTTCATATGAATTTTAAATTTATTTTTGAAATTTTGGTGTTGGATTTATATTTATAGATATTTACCTGTAGGAAATATCCCAATTTAAAGACAGATAATTACTCCCTTAGTCCTACGCCTTTGTAGAAAGAAACAGAAAATGAAGCTATCCTGCTCTTACTCATTGTGACATAGGTCGCCATGGCACGCATGCGCAAACTCTTAGCTTACATGCGTGCAAGAGAGATAGA